GGAGAAGTCATATTAACCAAATTTTTCAATCATCATAAAGTTATGAAAAATCTTGATCTAAGTGAGTATTATGATTCGGAATACACTGAAACGGAATCATCCGGCTCTGAAACTGAATCAGAGTCTGAATAATCTAGCAGTGATCACTCCACGCTATAGCTAATTTTATGTATTGTAGGCCGAGTTCTGACAACGTTTCTTATTTTTTAAAATAAAGCATATATTATGTTCTTGTCATAAATCTCTCCAATTAGCAAGAGGATTAGGATCGAAAAAATTATTAAAAAATAATATGTATCATGGGCTAGGTCCCGAACTTTGTATTTATTTTTGCATGTATTAATAAAGCGATTTTACATTTGTCACGTAACATTGAATAATTCTTTTATGTATGAAGATATTATCTATCATGTCATCTGATCTTGAAGTATTGATCACTGAACTTGAGGCTAAGAAAACTGATGAGAAAGCTAAGCTTGAAGCACTTGAGGCTAGAATTTTAAAACTAGAGCATGATCAGGCAGAAAGAGAGGCTAGATTTTTAAAACTAGAGCAGGATCAGGCAAAAAGAGAGGCTAAGAAAAATCGGAAATTCCAGACTAGATGTATCCAGATAGCTAAGGAAATTCTTAATGATGAACCTATCATCAAATATCGCCCGCCTTTCTTGAATGGATTAGAGCTTGATGCCTTCTTCCAAAAATATCAAATTGCATTGGAGGTGCAAGGAGGCTTCATAGCACTAGCTGGTATAAGGATGTTAAAAAACTCGAAGACATCGTTAATCGTGATCGGCTAAAAAGGTGCATATGTCAAGATAATGGAATTTTTCTTATTGAGGTATAGTATGATGAAAAACCGGAAATTGTCATTCCAGAAAGAATACAGAAAATTGAGGAGTTCGTTACTCAAGCATCCAAAATTTCTTGTAATCAATAACCTATTGTTTTTTTCGCATATTCTAAATTTCAAATTAACAGTCACAACTTACTACTAGTTCTTATACTCTTCACATGATCATACATTAAGAGGCCTAAATTCGTAAATCACGTGTACAGTGCGTCAAAAAAGAAACCTGATTGAGTGATCGTCATGTATAAAATCAAACCAGACACGTCTATACGCGTTGTTCTATCTATTATTTTTTTTCTCGTTAAATATGTTGTCTGATAAAATCTTGGATGAAGTTCGTTATGCCAATTACTGGAGGAGGCCTCTTACGGAATGGGGAATAGAAACGTGGGATAAATTTTTCTTTGAAGAAATTCAAAAGTCAACAAAAAAGTCGCACCAGGCCTTTGAAAGTGAGCTGAAAATTTTGTTGAGAATAATAGATCGGAAATCAAGAGAAGGACAGAAAGTGATATCAATAAAAAAGGATTTTAAAAAGGTTAGTATTTTTCACATTCTCAAGGTTGTGAAAGTATTAACGAGCATAGCAATTATGCTACGCCCCATTTCTGCGAGTATGGGGAAGAAGAGCGTCCAGACTGTGAGTGTATTCTTACCTCTGCGACGTGCACAATTTGCTATGAGGTTCTTTGATTAAGGTCTGCTGATTCTGGAGGAGGAATCGGCTATGTACCTTCCTTATGTTAAGGATCTTTCTCACACACTCCCTTTGCATACTATACAAAATTCCAAGAAAAAGAAGAGGAAGAAGGAGAATATAATTCCTATCGTTGGTAAAATGTCACATTTTCAACATAGTCGTTTCATTCTCATTTTTGAGCTTTTGCTGTGCCATACTTATTATTACTAATCTTGTTTAACTTATTTCTTATAGTCCCAAGTATTCCAAAGGGTATAGCCCTAATTTCTTCATTTTTTTTTATGCAGTTTTTTCATTACAATATTTCATTATCTTAGATATAACCACTGAAATAATAAAACTATTAGTTCAGTGTCCTGGCCAACTTCCTAAAAGGTCCAATATAGCAGATTTCCTTAATGAAAACCCTCCTGTAAAAATACCGCTTGCCCCTATTCATTTTTTCCAACTTAAAACTAGAGGTTCAGATTGCATAACTGAGGAAGAACGAAATATATATTTTGTACCAAATGCCAAAGAGGAATGTACATCACTTTTTTCAAAACTTTTAGGACAATTAATTTACCCTCCCTCGTACGGAAAAAATGAAGACTCCTATCATAGTCTGTGGGATAGTATCATTAAAAATACGATAGAGGTATTTGGAAAACATAATGCTAGCTTGCAATTATTGGAATTTGATCGTAATACTAGCAAAAAAACTGCAACCGGTAAAGTTAATTGAATGGTAGTGGTTGATCAATATGATATGTATTAAAATATTGTATTCATAGGTTGCAACCGCCCAGATATGGTTGTGAAAGTAAGAAATGTTTGTCTTTTTCGAGGTGAAGAAAAGTGCCCGGAAGGCGTGGGAGATCCTTCGAAAGAGTTAACTGAAAAAATCAAAGGTTGGGAATATGGAGATGCGCCATACATTTTCGGATATTATGCTGTTGGAACTTTTGTTACATTTGTCACAATGCACAAGCCTATAACTAAGTCGAATAATAAGAGAAAGCAAAGTGTTTATTCTAAGCGAATTGCAGAGTTTGATTTAGGACGTTTGTCTGATAGAATTCGCATTATGAATTTTCTTCGAAATGTCTGTGAGTGCTTTTTTTTAACTTTTATAAAAATTTTTCTTATGAAATTCTAATTTATACTATTGTTATTTAGGTCGAATATTACCTATTATAGCGAATCTATGCCTTCAAAGAGATTAAAGTTGATATATGTGTTGGAATTTAGTAAGTTTTAGTGCGGATTTACATAATAACTTTCCAAGTAAACGACCAACTGCTTCAAATGCTCTCAAGAAATGTTTAGAAAGGTAATTGTTTGTAATCGGTTTATTTCTTGGTTTTTTTTTAGTTTGTAATAAAGACTAAACTTTCAGTAGTTTACAAATTTAAATCCTTTGCCCAAAAAAATCAATCCGTTTTTAGTTAACAACCTGCTCGATACCTTCTGGAAAAGATCGTTGAAACACGTAATGGACATCGACTTCCGCCTAGGAGAATTATCACATACTTTAGTACTGGATTATCTTATAAGTTTATTTTTTTCACTGAAATTTACTTAGAGAAGAAAATGCTAAACTTGTGGCTAAGATCGTCAAGCTTGAGGCTAGGAATGTCTCGCAAATAAAAAAATATTAAATACTACATATGATCTCTTGACCAGTAACGATAAAATCATATATGCTACTTTTTGATCGCCAAG